ATTATTACATGAAGCGTAAAAATTGGCAAAATAACGTAAAATACTTTTACAACAAAGTACAAAAAATAACGATGCCACCGCGATATTTGTTTCTTCTTGCATTTTAACAGTCTGAACTGAATAACTGAAATTTACGTAGGTTGTTTTAATTCTCTTAAATTCTTGATTTAAATCAGTGTTGCTCAAACACATACTACCATAGACTACCATAGTTTTATTTGTGTTGGTAAAGCAGCAGAGAACAGAATTCAATTCAAAATAAAAGTATATTAATAAAATGACTATAAGCTGTAAAGCATATGGTAACTGTCAAATATTTATTATGGATTTTGACAGCCAGCGTATATCAAAGTCTATATATAAAAAACTATCAACTGTTCTCTCATGTTCTCCTACATTAATTCGGCTTTCTCAAAATTTTGTTGTTGTATTTCTGTGTGTATTTTAAAAACGTCGCGTATAAACCTTGCTTCGACAAGTGCAGATCAGCAACTGATTTGATTTTGTTTTTCAAGTTGAGAGCAAACGAACTGATATTGCTCATTATAAAAAGAAGAAGAATTAAACCTATAGTGTATGTGTATCAACTTAGCGTCAGCAGAATTTTCTTACCCTATCACGCGTGCTATGTAATGGCAATCATGCGCTCCTCTGATTTAAATTCTTCGAAAGTATTTAATAACTTATTACCATAACGAATTGAGAAAATGATTCTTAATTTACAAAGAAAACTTGCATTTTTGCTTGACTTTGAAGAGGCAAAATTTTCATTTATATATTTTATTTTAAAGGAAACTTTGGAAAAAGTATTATTTCCTTTGACTTATTGATCAAGCCTCGTTGCAGTTGTTTTTATGTTGACGAGATTTTCGATTAGAAATTAAATAGAAATTGTGTACTTTTTGGCATTTATTCAAAAAATCTTAGGGTAAAAATATCATTAATATATAAATAAAAATAAAAATATTGTATGTAGATGTAGAATATGTTGCAGGTAGGGAAGGTGGGTAAGAGGTGTATATTCTTCAAAAGAGTACCCACTTTTTTTGTCTTTAAGTACTATTTTATAGATATATATATATACAGACATACATACATACATATGTATGTTATTATACTATTTTATGTTTACTTTTTTGTATTTTGATTTTGCATTTAAACTATTTATGTAAATTTGTTTAGTTCGATTAGTGTGACTAATGCAGTAAGTCTCCAACAGTTTAAAGTATATGTATGTGTGTCGTTCGTCTCGTTTTCGCCGTGTGCACAATACAATATTTTTATTCATTTTAATTACCTCAAATACAAAAACTCTTTTTCGTTTCACTTTAATGTGCAATTTACAGGAATGACCAGCTCCAAGAACCGTGTGAAACTTTTCTTTGTGTCCAGCTCTGATTTAAGCCGTGTAGTATTGCCAATAGAAGTGATATTTTTGTTCCCTTTGACATTTTCAGTAACCTCGAAGGGAAAACTGCTATTGTGAACTTGCCGTTAACATTTCATTCACAATAGGTGATTTTGCTCGCAACAGCTGTTCATTGTTTACCAAATTTCTATACAAAATTTCTTAACAGGGCAAAATTGTTCACGCCAAAAAAGTTTGTGTACGAACAATTTGAAAAAGGAACGTATTTCAGGAGACATTTTGATTGGCGATAGGGGCTAAAAACGATCATATATCATTATATATAGTCATATATTCATATTACAGACATCAATATAAATACAAATCAAATCGCCAATAGAAGTGAAATTTTTGTTCCCTTCGAAGGGAAAATTCCTATCGCAAACTTGTTGTGAACAATTCATTCACAATAGTTGATTTTGTATGCAACAGCTGTTCAATGTTTACAAAATTCCCTCAACACATTTCACAACAGGGGAATTTTTTCACGACAAAAAAAGTTAGTGAACGAAAAAAGTGAAAAGGGAACATATATCACGTGATATGTTAATTGGCGATAGGGGCTGAATACTCTTTCCATTAAAGTTTCTCAATAACACTAGATTCGCAACACTTTATTGTCTATGTGAGTTTGATATTGGCAACTCTTTATTATATACGCGATTTCAAGATATAATAAAAATAAAATTTATTTTTAAATTTAAAATATTTAATTAAAGTTAAAAACTAAACTAAATAATTAAATTTATAATTGTATTATTTCTCTAATGAACATTTTTCTTTGAACTTTATAATGTTTTTTCAAAGCTATTTTTAGATAAATTTATATTATTTTTACTTTATTTTATTCAATAACACAAAATGCAAATTAATGTAAATTTTATTCTTTTAATAACCTTTTAGTAAAAATGCTTTACAAACATAGAATATTTAACTGTAAAGAGCAATTTTCTTCTTAGGTAAAAAAGTATATTCGCCGGTAAAATACTTTTTAAAATAAATATTAAAAAAAAACATCTACATAAAATGGTTAATTAAACATAAATAAAAAAATGCTTGCAATAAGTAAACTGACATTATTCTGACATTAAATGTTGTAATAAAATTTAAATGAAACTCGTCATTATACAAACTATTATAAAATTGACGTTCTTTTAAGTTTGTATAGTTTTCGAATTAGTTCTTGTTAATAACGTCCTTTCTACTTGAAGAATTTTATTAAATAGCAGGAATAGAATGAAAGAAAGCTGAAGAAAATTGGAATGTTGTTTTAAAGAGTTTTTAATAATAAGTTTAAATAAAAAAATTTAGAAGTTATATTTTTTTCACTGCCAAATTAAAAGTTTAAGTGTGGGTTTTTTCAATATTCTACTGCCAAAAAAACGTATCAAAAAGTTTAAGAAAGTATTGTCAGTTATGTTCGACTTTATAATATGCTACTTGATTTTCAGCATGCAGCATTAATATGTATAACCTTAGTTCACTTTTAGATCGATTCTCTCGATTTACTGTTATTTATGTTATAGTGCTTTTCAATATACTGTCGGTATAGGTGACACATGGTTTACGCTCCAATGTATAGGAATTATAATACAATACCAATATTTATATAAAATTTCTAAGAAGTCCTAGATCTTATAGTGGACCTGTCCTAACGCTATTTGATAGAGTGATTAATGTTGTTATTAATTCTAAACGGAATAGGCCTATCAAATTGACTTGTTTCAATTCGATAGGCCAAAAAAATGTAACCCTTGATGCTGGGTTATACCCAGATGAGGGGTTTTTTAATTTGATTATTCCGTTTGTCGGAACCAAATGAGCTAAAGGTTTGAAATTGTTTACAAATATTTTCTATTGATCCAGGCTGTTGGTAATTAAAATTGGCAGTATCAGTCAACGATTTCATATAGACCCATACAAGTGCCCGTCCAGAATACAAGATGACGAAGTGCTTTACGTGGACACTTTCCGTGTTAGCATTATTTCACGGTGTTACTTCTTCAACCACTGTGTGAATTTGTGTATCTTACACGCCGGTTGCAATTTTTGTACATGGTTCTGCCGTTCCATGTACAAGCACATTGCTCAAGTACTCGAGCTATCTAATCTCGGAGTACATAACTGTACAATGAAGGAAAATTCAATGGTATCACTTGTATACCTTTCATCCATCACCATTCAACCCAGCACACGTCTCATTCATTCTAGGTATACCGGCGGGGGAAGGTCCGTATACCCCTACATTCATCCTGTATTTAACACAAACTTTTTTAACGCATAGTCCCACAGTCACACGTCGGTGGAGTATCTTCGGCAACAGCACCGTACTTAACCAGAATTATAGACTTTACCGTGCATCAGTCTTTTAACTGACATTCTCTTCCCGAAAATTTGGGTTTAAATCACAGCAACCGGGACAAGACAAAGTCTGAAACTCTGCCCTGAGTGCTGCAGGTTCCCGTGGTATCAGATTATGTGATTCTCCGGTTCGACTCATTTGAAATCTTTCCAAGGCAAGGCTGAATTTATAGTCTTGCCACTGTACTGTTAGCACTTCTTTTCTTCCGGATTGCAATCACACCAAGATGGGGTCTTTCATCAAGATTGCCCGGGGGATCGTCCACAATACAGTTTAAATGGTCATATCTGGTTTAAAAGTAGCAATACAGCGATGAAATCCTACAAAAACAGGTTTTATAGAAACCAAACACTCTCCACCAAATTTAATGAGGATCCATAATTGACCCTATCCCCCGTGTAAGATCCCCTTTCGAAAATTACTTTAACGGTCATTACTGGCTTAAAAATGCCGCCGTAGATTAGAATTTCGATATAAGTTTTACAGGAACCAAAACTCTCTGCGCAAAGTTTTATGAGAATTGGTTCATAATTGCCCCTACCCCTATTAAGGTCCCCTTTAGAAAAAGACTTTAATGCTTATTACTGGCTTAAGAATTCAGTTATATCGGTACAAAATTTGATTTCAAGGTTCAAATTGGGCGACAGTTAATATACGGACATGATTTTGCATTCTGCTTTTGTTATTTTTTAAATATGAGTAAAGTTGATCTCCATGTTCTTTCAAAGTTTAAAACCCTTTGCCATTTAATCGTGGAAAGAAGCTGTATCTCCTTTAAGAACGTTCGGTTGAGGCAACCGTTCAACAAGATGAAGAAATAGACATACAATTTAACGTCTTTATATTTTGGTCCTCTAAGGTTGCATTTAATCACTGGCTACGAAACATTATCGAACACGATATTCCCGGTATATCGGCCGATTTGTGTGGTTGACTATTGAAAAACCTGACTTGGCGTATTCACTCGTGCTAGCGCTTTAATGGACATTATAAATACAAATCATTTGGAAATAGGGCTAATACTCTTCTAATTGACAAATGACGTCTCTCTTAATGGAAAACCCAATAGAATAGAATCAGAAACTGAATCAGTATTATTGGTGGGAGTATGGCCATTACAATAGGTGAGTAGATTGTAAACAATTATTTAAAAAAAAACAAACAACTTAATATCATTAATATAAAATTATTTATTTATTTAATATATTAATAAATTTTCCATGGACTTACCTTTCCTTGCATAATCAGCCTTATTGTTAATGTAACCGATGTATCATCATGTTTAGTTTGCGTACTTGTGTTATTGTCCTCCATTTTAACTGTGTGTTTGTTTTGTTTGCTTTTTTTGGGGGGTTGTTGGGTTGGTTGGTTTTGTTTGGTTGTTTCTTTTTTAATTTAAATTTGAATTTATAAATAAATAACTTTGTTATTTAAAATGTTTAAATTGTTGTTGTTTGTTTGTATATATATATTCTATATAAATATACGTAATGTTTGTAGATTCTTTTGTTTATTTATAACAATATACTTGTTGTTTGTTATGCTCCTGTTTGCTCCTCTGGATTTGTTTTTATGTTTATTTTGTGTCCAATAAGAAACAAATAAATGTTTGTAACAATTATAATAAATTAATTGGTGGTGTCTTTTAACGTTTCATTTAAGCTCCTCTTGTTTTATAACAATTTTGTTTTTTTATTGAAATTTGTTGAAATGTATTTCTTTTTATTTGGTTGATTGTAATTTTTATTTTCATTTATAAAATGCAAAAAAATAATATGAGAAAGTTAATTATCTTTTTATTCCGTTTTTTTGTTTGTTTTAAATCCAAGTGAAAAAATACATTTACACATTAACAACAATATGCTGGGATGTGTCCGTCTGTCTTGTGTATGTTTTCTAGATGATGATAGATGGAAAATATTTGTAGATGGATGATGATAGTTTTCAAAAAATTATGGTTCCTTGGTAAATTCTTGAATTTTTTTCTTTAGCCTTTTGACAAGTTTTTGTAATTTGTTTTTGAAACAATAAGATGTTCTTGAGACTGGCAATTTTTGGGCAAAAAAACAATGTTTTTTTTTTATAATTATGTTTTAGATTAGAAAGATTCTTTTGTAACGTTCTCTTTCTTTCTTTTTTGGCGTTAAACAACAATTAGTAGCTGTAGTGTTTGAATAATGAAGCAGCAGCCTTGGCGATGTCTTCGGTGCTTTAGTTTTTTTTTTTCTTTCTTTACAAACGGGGTACAAATTATGTAGACATTAATTGCTGCAAAGAGATGAAAATACAAATAAAAAATTATAATTAATTACAATTAATTATGGCGTCGTAGACGTAGGATTTTTTCTATTTGTTTTGTCTTTGTCGTTAGAGGGCAAAACATTTAAACACATATTCATGTATAAAATATTCTTTTACATACAACATTTGATAAATTATTATAATTTTTTTTATTGTACATAAAGATTTTTGGTTGTTTGTCTGAATAAAAAAAAAAACTTTTTTGTAATTTTCTTGATGTAATTGTGCATTTGCCTGAATTTAACTAATGGACTGTGTTCATCGTTTTCGTTTTCTTTTTTTTTCGTTGTGATTTATTTTTGTCAATCGATTAAAGTCGAAGTGCAATTCTTCTAATGGCGGCATGTAATAGAAGCAGCAATACAACAAAGCTTCCGGCAGTCAACATTTGTTTTCTATGTCTTGTTTTTTGGGTCCTCTCTTGTGATTTTTTTTCTGTTTGTAATTATTCTTAATTTAGTTTAGTTTTTTTTTTTTGAATTTTGTCTAATTTAAATTTGTTTCGAATTTATCTTTTTTTCTAATTTAGCAAAAAGTTGTTTATGTAAAATTTACAAAACTTTGAATGTGCGCCAAGTTTTTGGGAATTAATGTGTAATGTGTGTTTGTGTGTTTTTAAATATATTCTGTACTTACACACATATTTTTGTAATTGTCTCGAAAAATGCGTAATGAAACTATTTTAAAATAAAATTTGAAATTTTGTTGTTATGTACAACTTACATATAGATTCTCTAGTAAATATACTACAATGTTATCAACTAATTTGTATTGATTTGTATGCCAATACATGTATTTATAACATTTATTTTCAAAATAATAAATGTCTTTTTTATTATTTAAAATTCAATACCATTGAGGTTCAACGAAATTGAAATGATTTGAATCTGTCAAATATGTGAAAAATGAACAGTATTATTTCTGAACCCTTTCGTATAAAGTACTAAGGGGAAAATGTGGACCGGATCTACGCCTACATAAAATGTTTTTATCCTAAATTTCATAGCGATATTAGCCTTTCTAAGCAAATTTAACTCATTTTCTGAAGGGATTATTATATGAGGGCTAGGGTCCAGTGAGGAACGATCAAATTGCGGCAGGGTCAAAAAGGCAAGTACATATAAAACATAGTTTTTTTTTGTCGAGATACGAATATATTAAACATTATTATGAACTCAAAACCTCTATTCGGGAGGTTCTGTTGTATGGGGGCTAGCTGAGATAATAGACCCATCTTAAACATTTTTAATAGGTTTCGTTTCAGCAATAATAGAAAAAGATCATGAGTTATATTCAAAATTGCAATCTGTAGTTTGATTACAAAGTTTACAAGCCCTATTGGGGGAGTGAAATAATGGATCGATCTTAACCATTTTTAATAGGCTTCGTTCTTGGGACAATTGATCATATAGCAAATTGAATTATCTTCAAAATTGCGACCTGTAGTTTGAATACAAGGTTTACATGGACAGACAGAAAATGATTCTAAGCCGATTATTGTGCTGAATAAAATCAGCACATCCCTACTAAAATGGTGTAGGATGTGTTAGTTTGAAAGGAGGATGTATATACAATATATATTATATATACATCAAATCCGAAAAAATACACCCAGATCTCACGACCCACGACCTCCCAGACTAGAACACTAACCTACCAGGGGCCACACGGTGTAGGGTATATAATTATTTAAAAAGCATTTTCATCGTTGGACTGTGTTATCAGGACGATTTATCATTTTAGACATTTATAGAATTCAAAGCACAATTTCAGGTGAACATTTTTATGAGGACTTTGTGAAATAATGTAAATTGATATATCTTTAAAATTATGATCTGTTGTGTAATTACAACGTTTAAAAGAACAAATCATAAAGCGCTTTTGAGATTCTATTGGTATATGGAGATAAGATCAAATTTTGGTAATGAGTAATGAGTGGTCATTATTAATAACGTTAATTAATTTTTTTTGGAATAAGATTTGTAGCCAATTGTCTAGAGCGTCTAATCCTATTCGATTTTAGGAGATAGCAGGAGAAATTAACTAGTTAATGGAGCATTGACTAAACGAATAAACACATAAAATTACTGTAATGCCGGTTTTAAATCCTAAAAAGTCGGGTAAGCACATTTGTAACCAGTTATTTTTTGGTCATCGTCCAACAAATATAAGTAGTTATTCACCCAAAAAGTAATTACTTTCACTGTGCTCCAATATTATTTGTCCCCTTGTCGGGTAAGTAAAAATTTTTATTTCTTAAAGGAAATAATTTAATATTCAAACATTTTATTTTCGAAAACGCTGATGTTGTTTTACACATCCACAACTAAAATCACAATTTTTCTTTTTTAATATTTATTAGAATTAAGCTTATTTTTTCTAAATATTAAAAAAAAATCAAAAGATTTACAATTACTCAATATAATAATTCTATGCAAGTGTGTGTATTCACTTTATATTTACGATTATTTTGCGCATACATGCGTATCTGTCCATAATTTAATGTAATTGTATTACAAAAATGAAAAAAACAACTGTAATTTCCCAGAGTATTTATCTATTTTTAAATAGAACACTTTAGATACTTGTATATAACATAGTACACACACACAGACTGATGAAGCACATGTACATTAATTTAGGAACATTAAAATCCGTTGCTGATTTATTCACCATAAAATGTATATGTCTGTCTGTCTTAAGTATTTGTCTCCTGTAAAATTTATGCGAAAAGGCAAGGAATCTAGACAAATTTTAAGCAAATTTTACTTTATTTCACTTTAATTTCATTTGCCCAGATTTGTGGACGACTACGTTGTGTATTTAATATTATGGTAGCTATTGATGGATACAAATTTAGAATAATCCCAATTTTGTGTGTAACAAATGTTTTATTTTTAAAACATGTAAATTCTCTTTAAAATAAACTAAAAGATTTAAGGCGACAAATATGTTGTTGTATTCTTCTGGCTAATAAAAATTCCTTTTTAAAGTTGTTTAGACCTTTTTTTCTTTATAAATTTATATAAATAAGTTTTTGCCAAGAGTTCGTAATAATACAATGAAATAATTCGTTGAAAATAGGTTTAAGCAAGACGAAATTCACTTAACGTGATAAAAAGTTGGTTGATGTAACTAAATCAACAACAAATTTGGTTGACACAATGAATTAGTTTTCCCTTATGTATGTATGTGCAGCATGCTTTTAGGCTTATGGGGAGAAATCGTATGATTTTAATCATTTTAACTAAAGTTAATTTTTACAGATTTAATTAATAAATTATTTTAGAAAATTCCTTAATATAAACATTTAAACTTTGAATTTTAATTACGTGTAAAAATTCCATTATGTTGAACTTAATAATCATAATTCTGTGAAAATGTGTTAAAAACAACAACAAAACAAACAATTACTATAGAGATTGATGAGTTTTTTATAGATTTTTTAACTTAAAAAAAGTTCTCAGTAACATTGACAATAGTTATAGAAATAGAAAAAAATATCTGTATATAGAGGCAGATGCATTCCGATTTCTCTTTCACAACCAATAGATGAAATGACATTTAATTAAAAAACATACATACATATCTACTTATAAGTATGGATGATGTACAACAATGTCGTTAGCTTCTTCTTTAATAAGACAGTTTATTTTTTTTTTGCTCGCATTTATATGTGTATTTATAGATGCAATAACAATGCAAACTCTGATGTGGGATGAAATATAATACTATTGGTGTTATCAAAAAAAAAAAAAAAAAAAAAAAACACAATTTTTAAAAAAATAATACACAATATTGAAACTGAGAAAAAGGAATTGAAAGTAGAAAACAAGATAAAAGACTAACGAAAACATTGGATTACTAAAGCTTTCAATGCATAAAAAACATACTACATTTATACTGTACATACTTCCTTCTGCAATCCTCGAGATCTAGTTGAAAGATTGACTGACTGAATGAATGAATGTTTGACACATAGAAAAGACACATTTGTACAATGTAAATGTATGACAAACATCAATAATAACAGCAACAACATTATCAGTTTCATTGTTGTCAGATTCTATGAATGTTAAAAATATATGTATGAACAGATAGATATTGATAGTTACAAACATACTTACATTCATAAAACAAATGCATATTGTTTGATAAACACATACACATACACTTTATATATATGATTATAAAGTAGTAGTTTTAAACATTTTTATTATTCAATTGTAAATTTTTAAAAGAAATTATTTTATTTAAGAATCTTTCATTGAAATTTTTAAAGCTTTATCTACAATATTTTTTTTTATTTGGTAATAAGGACTGTAGGGAAAAAGGGAAAGATTTCTTACTATTGTCAAGTTGTAGGGATTTTTCCAATTTCATAGTTTTTATCAACTAAAAATATACTCTTTCATGTATTAAACTTTAAAATTAAAAATTAAATAATTTTTAAGAGCGGGTTTTTGAGATGGTAATCAAATGCCAATTAATAATCAGATTATTTAATCTAAAAATAAATTTAATCTTATGTTAATCCCCTTTGATGTTTTTGAGTACAAGATTAAACTTCGCAGTGTTGCCATACAAAACAACAGAAAATGTCACTGTTTGTTATCAAAACAATGCATATTTTATAAAAAAGAAGAAAACAATTGTAAATTTAATATGAAAATTAATGAAAACTTAAATTAAAAACAAAAAAATTTATTTTGAAGTGTCCATAATTTATACTAATCAATAAATAGAACATTTTAATGTTTATATTTATAAAAATTTTATTAATTTTTTTGCATCAGCTGTTTACACTTTTACATTTCGTGCTTAAGATTAAACCACCTCCATTGGGCGCTTAAACTTGCAAACAAAATTAACTAATTGAGTACTCAAAAACACCTTTCGAGGATTAATTTTAATTTAATCGCTAATCTTTCGCCTAAAGATTTGCCATAAGTGTATCGTTAGTAAAA